GGAGCCGGAGCGCGACCCCGCCCGAACGCCCATCACTGGCTGTGGAGGGTGCAACATATGGGATCCAAGAGGTTTCCCATAGATCAGCAAATGAAAGTGTTGAGCTGGACGATCCCGGATGCACTGCACGGCCCCACGGAACTGCGCCCAGTTCCGATTAGAATCGGGTGTTTTTCTGGTCGCATCATCTGCCCGCCTCCTTCCCCGTCTTATAGACCCAAGAGGTCTTAAGAACGGGTCTGTTTTGGATGTACAACATTCTTCTGACCTCGAAGACAAACGTGTGACATTCGCCTAAAAACAACTGCAGGTGTCCCAGGTAAACTCGCAGCAGCTTCACCTTGGAGGTGTCCAGCCCTTGTTGCTGCAGGCTCCGCAAACAAACAAAGGAGATCCCGCGGAAGGCGTTGCTCGCCTGCCGAGCGAGCAATGGAGATCCGACCGAGGGTCTGACCGAGACCGATTCGAAGTGAATCTGCCTGAGTGGGCATCATGCACAGTGGTTTCAAGAGTAGAGGGGTGTACTATATTGTACTATGGGGGTCTATCTACACCACCGACCTTGGGGATCACTTGTGCCATCTATTCTGAGGTTCGACTGTAGGATCGAGATCACACGTGATCACTGATCACCTCCTGGAATTGACCGTGTGGCCCTCGGATTGGCCCATGGCTCAACCTGCGCACATGGCTCGACCTGTGAGCTTCACTGGTGCCTTGCTGGGAAGCTTGGAGACTCAGGTAGGTTTGATGGACTGCTATCGATGTTTTGTCTACGACGTGGCTGGCATCTTCGCATCCGGACAGGAATCACTATAAATTAGCCCAAGCAAGCTTGTCACGACGTTCTACTGAAAAACATTCGAACACTAAGAAGTTAGAGGATCACCAATGCATGGTGCTTCGGTTCTTCTTAGCATGTTGGGACACCAGCCCTGACCTACAAACAAGTATTGACTTGAGCTGATGGTGTCTCCAAACCCCTCCACTTTTGGCTCAGCGGTGTGCAAGTAGTCAAGCATGGAGTTTATTTTGGATTCCAGGTACCTCGTTCAACAGCAGCAAGACACCTTGGGCCTCCCAAACAAGACAGCTTGGGAGTGGAATATTTTCCTACCTTGACCTCTGCGAAAAAGAACCACCCCAAATGTAGCCAAATATTGCATACTTGGAGTCGGAGCGTTAAAAACACATTTCAATTACAGTCTGCATGTTTTTCTGGAAGTTGCCCGCACCTCTTGCAGGCATCTGCGATTTCGGCACGGCGGCTCTTTTGCTTTTTAGTCGCATGAAGTCTTGTCGGCTTGGTATGTCCGGTATGTCTTGATTCCCTGACAGCACTTTCCCTAGGGCTCCAAGTACCTTCGTTTCGAAGGTGTTTGGGGTGAGTTTAGAGGGTCCAGTCATACCTTCTGAGGAGGCACTTGGGGCCCCGCAAGTGTTTTTTTTTAATGAACAACTGTGTGGCTGATATGGACCTAACTGGCTTAACGGGACAACTCGAGAGTGGGGGGCTCCACCAACATGAATGGGGTGCTGCATGGGGTCCCATGTGACATTCAATGGGGGAATGTTGCGAAAGATGACATTCAGTGGTCGCCACACATCCTGAGAGAGGTGGGCTACATTGCTTGGACCTGTCGATGATGACCATCGGTCGATGGGTTCGGAATGGTTCGGAATGGTTCGTCGGATTGAAAAGGGATATATATTTTTCCACAAGCCGACGAAAACACGCCGCCGACGGAATCAAAATGGTGGTTTGGGTCAAGGTCAGTTGGAGAAATCTGGAAAAACATGTTGCATTCTTCTGACATCCACCCTCAAATCGTGATATATTGTCAAATCATCTTAGCCAATTATTGTGTAAATTTAAGTATTCAAGTTTCTCCAAAAGATTCCGGATAGAAAAAAAAACTTCACTCCATGTTTGGGGACCGCACTTGAACCGGGTACGAGTACATGTAATCAAAATCAATCAAAATCAGGGAACCTGCCTGCCTCAAGCTGCAACTGTTCAAAGCCAAGCAGCAGGCTGGCCCCAAAGATTCGGTGGCACACTCAAGAAGAGTGGATACTTGAAGCCGTGGGTGACCCGCTCCGCCAACATGGGCATGTTCGAGGAATCCAGCACAGGCAGGATATGGAAGCGACCATTCTTAGAGACAGTGGCATAGGTGGCATAGGAGAAGTCACCACAAAGGCGGATAACGCGCTCCTCCGCGCCGGAGGATAAAGGCACATCGCGACCTGCCCGGACCTTCTCCTCACACAGGCGCAATGCATGCCAAAAGGCGGCAGCCTTCCACCTATAGAAGCAACAAGAAGTCGTTATGTATAGATATAGATATATATATATATATATGTGAGAAAGACAATATAGTGAATACAGGTGTGCCCACCTCGCACACGCTCTCGATGACAGAACTGTAAATTGAAGACACACAATTCAATGTTTCAAAAGGTTTCAGAAACAGTTTGCTGGCCCCTCCTTGAAGTGCTTAAAGGTATTGTTGGTAATCTGTGCAAACTGAAAGAGCTGCCCCAACAAGCCAAAGCCCGCGGAGACGCTGCGGACCGCATGGCATTGACCGACCGCTAGCAGGGTCGAGGCCTTGGCAGTCCCTTCAAGGCGCTTCAAGAGATCCTCCGGTGAAAAGCCCATGGCTTCACACACCAGGGACGCATCCTGAGTGCACCACACCACCGAAGGTAAAAGCTGCTCCGCAGCGTAGCGCAGCACAAAGTTCAAGGCCTTTTCATGGCTCAAGTCAACGAGCAAGAAGCCTTCAAGCATGCCAGCACCAAGGGTGGTCAGCAAGCACAATGCCCACCGTTGTACGGCTGAACGGTCTAAGGTTGTCGTCACAATGATCTGCAGCAAGCGGTGAGCCCTCCGACGGGTCCGACGGGGTCCGACGGCTCACGGGGTCCGAACTGGACTTCCACTCCCTGAGATAATCATGGAAGTGGAAGATGGCCCCTTGGATGACGATGTTCACTCATTTTCCTCTACAAAAAGAGGTTTTTTTGTACCTCCATAACTTCAGGGAGTGCGGCAATCCCTACAATCAACCTTCAACTTATCTGTGCAATAGCCAAGGGTCACTTAAAACCAGTCACCACGCATCATCACCACAGAAAAAGAAAACTTGTGTTTTGCCTAGCCGCCTAGTACACTAGCCTTAAAAGAGACCTGGATCTGATGTGAGTTGAATAGATCCCTCAAGAGGCAACACATGAGGAACCTACGCCTACACCTGGATCTTCCAACTGTGCAACGTTTCTGCCAGTTCATCTATAAACACATTATATTACAATATATATATATAAGTATATATATATAGACCAATCAAGGTCGGCATGTTGCATAGTTTTCACGGTCCAGGTATACGCACATCCTGTCACATCCTACTCTCGCATCGTTCTGCCATTCTACCGCGCCGGTTACGGCGCCTCTCTTGGGACCACTCCCGTAGGCACTGCGCTTGGTCCGTGACGAACTCCGTATCGGCGGCGATGCGCGCATCCGGCAGGTGGAGCACCATGAGGTGCACAAACTCGTCAATGTCGATCTTCCCATCGGAGTTCACATCCGCCTGCCTGAGCAGGAATAGTCGTTTCATGATGGGTCCCTTCATGTCCCTTCGTACTTCCCTTCGTATTGCGTATTCAAATCTACGAATGGATCTTGCAGCCAGTCTTCCGGTCGGCACCAAACAAGTACGGTCTCAGCATATCCTACAAACATGTCATTCATTGTCATTCTGAATGCCCCCAAAACTAAAACCAGCACAGCACCCCACAACCAAAACAGCTCGGCCCTCTCCAGCCCGTGGCGCTGAGGCACCGAATGCATTGGTCGATGTATTCCTCGGTGGCCGAGTCGTTGACGCCCGCCTTCAGCCGGGCACGCAGCAAGTCTCGGACCTCGTGAAGGTCCAAAAAGCCGTTGTGGTCCTCATGGGTTCACGAATACCCCCCCCAAAAAAAACATCAACAATTCAACAAATATGCGACAGGGATCAAAACAAAACATGAAAACAACAAAAGGATCACATCAAAGCATGTACAGTGTGGAAGTGCTGGACAATGATATGATCGGCCCTAAAATCTACCCGTGTGGTGGCATGGCACTCATGGCGCAGAAGTGTCAGCATAGCTATGATGACTTATTAGCTTTGATGAGACCTATGATCCATCTAGCCGTGCAGGTGGTTTCATACCAGAAACATAGAACAGGGAGTGACTGACAGTGAAGAGTCACCATCAACATCACAGCTTATGCGACCGTGAGCATGCAGCAAGACCTTCCAAACGTGTTGAGGTGTTCGTGTAACGGATCCTCTACTATGACCTTTTTTCCCGCTGCTCCGTCTGGCGCATCCATGTTGTAATCCACCCTTGTTTTTCCCCTCTATCCATGGTCCATCTGTCCTTGTCCGTTTCTTGAAAGAGCTGTCGATATGTCTCGCGCCACTTGCTGGCTGCGACTTTGCCCTTGGCCAGCTTTGCCGTGGAGTTTCGCCAGCCGCGCCAAGCAACACCGAGGAGTTGTCCCCGCATCGCACGGTGCACACGGTATGTGCATACATGGCGATCCAAAAGGCAGCTGTACACACTTGGGATGCACTGGGACCGGGTTCTCAGTGTTTCTAGTCTAATATCTTTTCAGAAATGCACTCACTCAAAAATGATAGTGTGCCCAGGAAACTTTAAAATGAATTTGATGGAAGCAAAGCATCTACAATTGTCGCTCGCTGCTGAGTGCCGTCCCTCAAGGTGCCATGCTGGGAGGTCAAGCTGCTAGTGCGCGTGGCCTGGATAATGCCTCATGATTGCTTCACTCTGCCCTACAAATTCTCTTCCATCTTCAGCTATTCCACCCCTCTCAAACAGGTGTTCTAGCGGTGCCAAAATGGCCGAGAAAAAAGTCAAGAGTATGCTCAAGGTTGGTAAGGTCAGTGTGACAAATGATTCCTGGATGATGCCATCAACGCCTGTGCAGCTTGTCCAGCGTAGCAGCCTCACGGCGATGTGGCGAGCTAGAGCCAGGCTGGTCATGCTTGCTTGTTGCCCTTCTGAACAAGATTTGGAGAAACCTTGCTTCCTTCCAAGAAGAATACTGATGAACCGAGTGCCACGCAAAGCCGTGAGGACCGTGAGGTGGTGGAATTCACGTTGATTGACATGAAACATGCATCGATTCAAAAGGCCTATGGCCACCCTGCACAGGAGGGGTCGCTGAAAAGGCAACCAAATCTCGAGCCAACGAGGCCACGAGGCCTCCCAAAGAACCAACGAGCCCTCTTCACACATCGAACACGGGGCAGTGGCATAGGAAATAGTGGTCTGCGTGCAATGCAATTAGGCTAAATGGTGAGGATAGAGAAGGCACCTTCAATACGCTGATCATCCAAGTGCTGTGGGTCAACCAGGTTAATCATAGCAAAACATCTCCCGGCTCTGTTGTGACATTGATGATAAACACATAATAAAACCAACACAACTTATCTCATCAATTCGGGAACCAGCCCGAATTGATGAAAAAAGACAATCCTACAAGACTTCCCATACTTGGGTTCCAAACATACTTTGACAAAAGACTCACAGGCAAACTCATTGGCCTGATCTAGTTGCGATGACTTCCGTGAAAGTGACCACAGTGAGCATTGAGCATTAAAATCACAACATATAACAACAACCCATCTCTCAACCCCTCTCGAAAAAACCGTGGCCTGCAAAGGCATCCTGGCCGCACGATAATCCCATGATCACCCATCGCACTAGCAATACTGGAAGGTTCCTGATGATTCTGCAAAGCGGGAACCAAAACCTTTGGGGGGGGCGGGCCGCCTCTCAGCTTGACGTGAAGGTTGCGGGCTTACCACAGTCAAGCGTCCGCAACATGTGAAAATTACTGTTTCACTTGCGACGGTTGCATGGTTCAGAAGGTGACTCGAAGGGAACAAGGGAAGCTGTGGAAAACATGTCATCATTGTCATTACATATGCTATCATAGCTTACATATCAGTACCAACAAAATCGTGGCACTGTAGTTCACTAAATCCCCCACCATGCAACATACCCACGCCCTGCAGGATGCAAAGTGAGGCACACCAAGGCTTTCAGACTTCTTTCAACGATTCTTCGGGGATCTGGGAACCAGTTGGCACGTCCCACGTTTTGATGTCAACCTGGTTCTCATGTCAGTGCCAGCCTATTTCTATTGCCAGCCCTTGGGATGCTTGGGTGGACCAATCGATCCTATGATAAATTTACGTCCGTGGTCCGTGGTTAGGTTTAAATATTGGCATTGGATCGCTAGGTACGGCGACGCAGAAACAAATTCAGCACCACGGACTCATGGACGGTCGACCAAGCTGCACAAGGAATTGAACATACCCGGGGCCATCGCATGAGCGCCGCATTCGCCTGGTGGTCGTAGTTGTAGTTGGTGTCCCTTCTCTGGAAACAGCAACTTTCAAATAGCCACCTTCAGTTGGGTGCTTTCGCTGAGGGCGGTGAGAAAGGGTAAGGTACCTATATATATTTTAATATAATATAGTATATATTATAAAGACCATGTGCTAAAGAACAGGCGACAGGGCCCTGAAAAGCCCTGCGTCTATCTGCGTCTCAAACTCGGTAAACCGTCTAGAGCGCTTGGTTCGCTTGTTTTCATCAGATTGACAGTTGAACCATGGTCATAAGTTGGAGGCAACCACCTTCCAGAATCCCCTTGGTTCTTTGCTGAAAAGAGTTTTTTTTGGGGGCTCCGTGTTCTTTCCCCAAGACGTCAGTCATGTGTCAACTCAACCCGGTTCCCTCTCACCTCCTCACGCTTCGCGTCGGGCCGACGCGGTGTCCCGGTCCCTTCCGCCCTGAGAGGTTTGGGGCGCTTTTAACATACCGAACTGAGTGTCTCTCCACACTCCAGGAATTCGAAGTGAGCTCCGTCACCGCACAGCCCAACACCAGGTAGCAAGCGTGTTCAATTCAAAGCTGGGGCTACAAATCACTGATCCAACCCAGTAGCCTCCGACTTTGATATGTTCTGTCATCATGTCTTTTGTGATTTTTGTGTTCTTCCTCTCTCTCTCTCTCTCCATCTCTGCCGTGTTAGTAGACGCCATCCTCACGAACTGGCTTGATCAAACCCCAGTCCTGCCATGCTCTGGGGTGCCCTGCCAGGATTCCGCAAATTTGCTGCCTTCTCTTCGACCTCTTTGAAGAGCTCCATGGCCCGTGCCACATTGAGGCTTGACATGGCGGCAATTGCCTGCGTGACATGGCGGCAATTGCCTGCGATGATCAGCTCAAATGCTGTGAACATCTATACCGTGTTTTTTGTCTGTACCGGTACCGTTATGGACCACCTGTACACATGGAAGTATGCTGAATCTGATTGAATCGCTTGAGAGCTGAACACACCAGTATCTGCTTGCATTCGTTCATCAATGCCTATCCGCATCTTTATATCTGCACACTTCTTGGCCAGTGTGGCCCAAGTTGCGTCTGAGATCTCTTCCGACCTCCTCGTCGATCGGCCGATCAGGAAAGACGTTGTTGTTTAACCAGCTGGCCTAGGAAAGACGTCTTCGCCGCGAAGCGGAGGAGTCTGATGGGCGACTGCTGAAGCAGTCAGGGCCGGATGGAAGTGTTCGGGTCCGCAGCTCGGAAAAGGCGAACCGGACGTAGCGGAGCTTGGGTATGCAATCAAATCAGGGTCGGAGATCGATGCCACCGATGGGATGTGACAGTGAACCCTGTGGTTCTCACAAAGCTGAAGGTTGTCGGAGGATGTTGGATCAATGTTCATCTTCACCAGGAAAAAGAGTTCATTTATGCATGCCGCATACCGCAAAGCATGCTTGTGACATCTTGTGACATAGACAGTGCATGATTCATGACCCGGCGTGGAGGTGTAATTGCTGTCACCAGTGTTTGTTGCACCGGAGAAATCAATTGCCCAGCTGAAGATTAGAGCTAAACGCAAGGCGGCTCAACAATTAGCAAATCACAACTTTACTGCCTCTCCGCTACATGGCAAATTGCAACATGTTCATAGCCAAGCACCAACCAGCTCACCAGCTGAAGACGAAACAAACTCACCACTGGGCCAACTCGGCCTTTGGCTAGCTCAACTCCTCTCCTCACTACTTTGCTAGCTCAAGACTGGTGTTTCTTATCCTCCGCTATTTGCACGATGGGAAACGCATGGAAGAGCAAAAACATGCAAAAACATCCAAAGATCCACTGAATCCACTGTACCATATTTTGGCTCTCCCCGATACAAAGCATAGACGAAAATGGCCCTTCCAGCCGTCCAGGAGGATCTTCCCTCCAAGAGGCTCGCCGCCAAACCTTGTCCTCCTGGCGCTGCGGGCCGAATTTCCATCCAGTTCCCACCCCTGGTCATGTGAGATGCTGTAGTATCTGTAGTATACAGTGACCATGGGCAGTTAAGAACCTTTCACAACAAGGAAGCTTTGTTGCAAGGGCACCGCAATCGGCGTGGCATGTGACCTGCCAAACGCCGGAGTCTCATCCCTCCACAGATTGATCAAATAAAATCACTAGTTAGCGACATGCACATCTGCAGAGCTTCTTCGGAGTGGGGGGGCTGGGGAAGTGTGGGGTCAAACATCCAAGAACAACATGCAGCTCCTCCTGAGTGCTAGTCAGTTTCATCAAACAGTTTCATAACTCAGGCTTGTCAGGCTGCTCTGCTCTATGCTCATGCCAGTGGTATTTGAGATTCTATGTTGAACTTACTGGGAGTGAACCTTGTGACGTTGTTCAAAAATTAAAGATATTCGGTAAATAAATGGTCACAATTTCAAAAATGTGATACTTCATGATACCAGTACCAGTCTTTAGTCATGAAATCTTCACAACGATCGGACACTAATGGGAGCAGCCTCGCTGGTGCTCGGTGCTCCTGATTTGGTGCAGCAGTGGCATGCGCCTGGAGATTCTCGGGAAGAACCGTGTTTCTGACCATATGATGCTTCCTCAAGTCGATTCCTTCTGTTCGTGTGTGGTTCAACACTTGAGTCTGTTGGCATATCTCCAAGCACACAGGCTCATTGACGCTTCACCTGTCTAACATTGTTCAACAGCTGGGAGACCATGCTGTCTGAGACAAGGTGTTTCCCTTTTGGTTTCTCAGGCTCGGATAAGAACAGGTTCAACGGCTCAACCGTGTTTCAATGCAGTGCAGTCATACAGTCACAATTAGCGATAGTGTGAGGAAACAAATTGTGTGTCTCTCAACATGTTGATGCAACAAGTTTCTTGAGGCCTCTGTGTGGACATGAGACTCTGAGAGGCCAGCCCTAGGACTTATCCCTAACATCAACTGCAAATGTCTGCAGAACGCCTGAGCAGCCACAGATGGAGGGACGAGGCCCTCTTGCAAAGCGGCCTTCTTCAAATACCCGCTGGGGTTCCTGAAGGGATCTTCGAGTCTGTGGTTCACCTCTGACATTCTTCTCAACCGTTCATGGACAGTCAGCTGTAAGCAAGCACATCTCGAATCGAACATGACAACTGCCGTTTTGCGACATTTGCTTGTACATCTTCCCCAGGCCCCACTTAAAAGGCAAACTTGATTAAGAGCTGAGACAGTGCCCACTTGATGCAGAATTAAGATTTTAAGAAAATCTAGGTTCAAAGTTAAAATAAACTTTAGCAAATCTAGGTTCAAAGAGAAAATCATCATGTCTTCCTGGCAGGTGTCAAAGCATCTACAGTATGTGGTAAGCTGCTGTTGAACTAGACGGCACCATGTACTCCTATGGCAGGTGCGGACAAATCAAGTGTCACTCCATGTCACTCCCTTATGCAAAAGCTTTACATTTATATGTTGCCCTGATATGAGTGTTTGCTTCGGCATCAAACGTCTGAAACCTTCAATCGTCGAACAGCTCTTTTCCTGGTTTCGAACAATGCAGTCAACAGTTTACAACCGTTTAAGTGATAGAATCTGAATCTCCGGCTTGCTGACAAAGAGCCGTGGACACTGGATGAAACATGATGAACATGGGCTTCGGGGATGACCAGAACCTACACAATGATCCTTCACTTCACAGGGTGTTTCAACTTCCGTGCAGGTCGGAGTGTCGTTCTGTTCCATCAGTGGAACCGTCCAATGTGCACGCCGAGGTGCCGGAGCTGAGCACTCTTCCCCTCGATCTCCTTTTCGAAAAATGCCCCAAACACACACACACACACTCTGACACTGGTTTTCAGTTAACGCAAGTCACGTTGGGAAG